TGCTGGTTTTATTTTTCCTTTGCACAAAATACTCCTCCCCAGTCCCCCCCAAAACTTGCCAGAACTTTCAGTATGTGTTTCTCTCCTTACCAGTTAATTTATACAATGCCTCAAATCCACCATGTATCCCTGTTGGGAACATGCTGATTCATCTTCTCAAAAGTGTTTCCACATTCAGTAATCCAGGAAAAATACTAAAATCTTTCGATGAAAACACTGAGTACAGTGATGTAATGATTCAATTTTCATGAATATATTTATTTCACTTGTTTTGTAAGCATTTGCTTTCATTTTCCAAAGGCAATTCTTACTCGTTATTATAACCTTTAAAATGCATTGATTTACTAACACAGATATAACTGTTGTATTGTATTTCATGGAGATTTTAGCTATGCAAGGTGATAAACTACCTCTATGTATTTTGTTAATGCATTGCCTGGTTAAACTTTTCATTACTTTTACCATCTTCACCTTTAATCATTTGTTCCTGGGAAATAAATCTCCTGCTGGGGTTATTGTATTCTTATTATTTTATCATCCTCAACTTCTGACAAAATATTCTGATGCAGACACTTGTGAGATTGCCAATTTTAATTTTTTTTTTTTATGTTGATCATAGCAATTTAAAATGGAAAATGCAGAATTTCATTGATTGATGATTTTTTTTCTTGTCTCTACTGTATTTCGGCCCATGTTTGACTTATTTGAAGTTCTTTACTTTAGAAAGCATAACTGATCCAAGTAATATATCAAAGGTGTGTTGTGGAGTTTTTTAAGAGTTTTTAAATTTTTATTTTCTGCTTAATCAAACTATGACCCTTTATTCTTGTTAGTTTTTCTGAAAACTAAAATCATAGTGAGTCCTAATAGCAGTAAGGTATTTCAAACATAAATGCATTGCAGTGTCTTCTGCAGATTATTCTAATTGGTATATTTTCTCAACGTGACAGAATCTCTGGATTTTATTAATTCCTTTTCAAGGTCATTAATTGTCCTCTCTTGTTTCCTGTGCAATCTGATTGCTACTTGAAAATTTATTCTTCAATAGGTATTGAAATAACTTGTTCGATATGAACTTTCAGCCTCCTTTCTCAGACTCTTCCTTAGTCCTGAAGCAGCTTCATCTTCCTTATGAAAGGAGCTCTTTATACTTAAAGCCCCTCCCTTCCCTTTAAACATGTTTCTCTTTATAGTATATTCTGCATCTTTACTAAATTGTGATTATTCCTGTTTAAACTCTGTAAATGTTGTACATCTAGATGTACTTCAGCACAGTAACAGGAAAAATACATATACTAAATCTCCCTTTTCAATAAAGTATTACAGTTTTTCAAAGGTTTTGCCTTCCATAGCTCAAAAAGATAAATTAATTCTTGTTTGGCTTGTCTTCTGTATCCCATTGTTTAGAAATAAGACATCAGCATGTCAAAGTGAAAGAGATAAAATGCTACTTTTCTAGTAAATGATTCTAATGAAATGCATATTTGTGTTTATAAATGCATGTCTGCATATTTGCCTACATCTACACATTTTCAATACAGTTTCCAGTGTGTCCTGTTACAAATCCACTTAGAATTTTTTATGAGAGAAATTTTATGGTGTGATATTATTTTTGGAGCAGGAATCAAATAGAATCATAGAATCATAGAATGGTTAGGGCTGGAAGGGACCTTCAAAGGTCATCTAGTCCAACCCCCCTGCAAGGAACAGGGATATCTCCAACTAGATCAGGTTGCTCAGGGCCTTCCAACCTGGCCTTGAATGTCTCCAGGGATGGAGCATCCACCACCTCTCTGGGCAACCTGTTCCAGTGTTCTACCACTCTCATAGTAAAAAATTTTTTCCTAATATCCAACCTGAACCTACCTCCCTCTATTTTAAAACCATTACCCCTGGTCCTATCATAACTGGCCCTCCTGAACAGCCTCTCCCCATCTTTCCTGTAGGCCCCCTTGAGGTACTGGAAGACCGCTATAAGGTCACCCCGGAGCCTCCTCTTCTCCAGGCTGAACAGCCCCAACTCTTTCAGCCTGTCCTCATAGGAAAGGTGCTCCAGCCCTCTTATCATCTTCGTGGCCCTCCTCTGGACCCTCTCCAACTGGTCCATGTCCTTCTTATGTTGGGGACTCCAGAACTGGACGCAGTACTCCAAGTGAGGTCTCACGAGGGCTGAGTACAGGGGGAGAATCACCTCCCTCGACC